AAAATCGTATTTTTGTGTATAGATGTCGTATTTGTTCATGTTTTTTGTATACTATTTTCTGGTCGAAGGATCCATTTTCACAATAGACATTTATATACCGTTCGACAGCCCTTTGAAAGAGCTACATGTTGCCCTATTTCTATCTAAAAAAGGAAAAACTTCGATTTTCTGCCTAACGTCTGGCTGTATGCCCACTGTGTGCTTTGACTATTTTGACTATTTAGACCATTTTAACTATTTAGACTATCTTGACTAATTGGACTATCTTTACTTATTTGACAATTCTGACTATTTTAGACTATCTTGACCATTTTGACTATTTAGCGTATCTGGACTATTTTTACTGTTTAGACTATCTTGACTAGATAACTAGGTTACTACTTGACTAGGTAACTAGATACTTCCAAAATCACGGGATGACCTGATGGCAATGATTTTGAATAAATTTCAAAAGCTTTCTCGAAATTTTCGATCGAGGTGCGATGTAACTAATTGTTCTTATCAAGCGTTTCTCCTGCTTCAATGGAAGTCGGAAGCGATGATGAAGGAAATGAACAACAAGTCGTTCAGTAACGCTCTTCACCAACTGCTACAGGACCAAAAACAAATATTATAATAATTCATAATATTCTTGATTGGTTAAAATCCGATTTCGGTGAATTGACATATAGAAATTCTTCATGTTTGGTTTGTGTGATTTCTATTTCTAGAGAGTGAAACAAAAAAGATGTTTCTTTTTATCTTGTTTGCGTATTGTTTTTTTTGTTTTCTCTAGGCTGAATCTATGAACTGGTCTATGAAACTAGTTTTGTGATCTGTGCGTGTGCTTAAACAGTTTTCTATTCTTTTTTTCACAAGTAACGTTTTTCAGTAAGTAACTTTTTCGGTGGAAGAAAATAGGGCTAATCAGATATTTTTAAGGTGCTCCAAATTCAAAATTATAGCACTTTTATTTTTGGCTTAATCATACACCATTCGATAGAGAATTTTACGCTGAGCAAGATTGTCTGGTTTTTAAGCTTCCCAGTTCACATTATCAGTGGAAAAAATTCAACTAACTTTTTTTAAAAACTGAATAACTTGGTTCGACCTCATTTCGAAGCCGTGAAACTATATTTTTCTTATTTACCATGGAAAACTGCATCTAGAAAACTGTATTTGAAGGTTCAACACCAAAACATATTTGTTGCTGGAAAACTTTGTGCCATATCTCGTACATGATTGTGAGTTTATTTGTGATTGCAAACTTTTTTATTCTCTTCTTACGAAATTCTTCTTGTTCTTTAAAATATAAGGTATCTTGAGTATATAAAAGCAATTAAAAAACTAAAATATATCTGACTAATGTGAGTATAAATTAAACATGTATTAAAAGTAAAACGCACTAACTATTCAGTTTACTGTTGACTATTTTACGGTGAGATGCGATATTGTCTTTACAAAGATTAGAAGAAAACATTTGTAGAACATGTTTATAGTCCTTTCCTTCTTCATAAGCAGTGAGAGTTTTCCAAAATCTTCTACACAATTTCATGTATATTTCTTTTTCTTCAAAATTAATTCGTGAATCATTAATTAATGAAATTATTCTAGTAAAACTTTAATCATTGTGGTTTCTCAGGTATCTTTTCATATGGCACCACATACCCTCGATAGGATTTAATTCACAATGATACTTCGGCCCATATAAAACTTTTACACCATATTCCGAAGCTAACTTTTCTAATTTTGTAACCTACAAATTCAATAGAATTCGAAGAGAAACCTTTTAGATGAAAACAAGAAACTCCTTTAATTCTAATCTGTTTTTCTTACGTTTTTAAATGCAGGTTGTCTAAGTAAGAGAGCTTTCAATTCATCAAGTCACAGGCACACGTATATCAAGATCCAATGCAATATCTAAAAGTCCTTTTGACTGTCCTTTTAAATTTCCAGTAGTAAAATAACAATTTACAGTTTGTTTCACATTTTTGCTGTCAATGAATTCAATTGTTGGTACTGGACAACGGGTGCCTGGACTTTTACCAAAGTCATGAAGGCTATACTGTCTTTTGGTGTGTGTTCTCGCAGTATCCACGAAAATCTCAAACCAATGACCTTTGAATTCCTTTTTGAATTGAAGTAATTTAAAAAATTTCTCAAATTGTTCCAAAACTGATGAATTATCCATATACAGGTCACCACCTATGTTAGTTGCTGCTGATGCTGAATGCTTTTCATATGTAATATCACTATCTTGTAATAGTTCTGGATATTTCCTTGTTGCTTCATTCCATTCTTCTTGATTTAAACGAAAGAAAGATGAGGATGGATGTAATACTGAAAAATCACTTAACATGTGACTACAACCTCGTCCTTTACTGAAGAATGGTGCATTGTCGTCGATAATCCATCGATGTGGGCTAATTTCACCGCTACGAAAAATGCTTTCGTCGTGACCTAGAAATATATCGAAGCACACAAAAGAAATAAAGATATCTGGATGAGAACTTTCGAAAAAGCAACATTTTCTTCACTTACAAATAAGAATGGTACGGTGTGGTGTAGTGGGTATAATCCATTTGGGAGATTCATCATTTGTTATAGTATAATATTCAGCTTTTCTTGATAAAAAATGCTGAATGAATTCTTTCCGGTGAGTAATAACATCGACGCGTTCGTGGCCTTCAAAATAAGAATGATTGCTGTTAGCCTCATGTCTTCCACCCCAACGTCGTATGTCCAAACGACAGTTCTCAATTGAACGAATTAAATTATTCGCAGATTTCTTCAAATTATTGATTGTATAGTAACGTTCATCAATAAATGTTGCTAAATCTGCCGCCTTAAAACTACTCGACTTTTGTGAACACGCATCGACCAGCAAAAATATAGTTTCACGGCTTCGAAATGAGGTCGAACCAAGTTATTCAGTTTTTAAAAAAAGTTAGTGGTTTTTCTAAAAAAGAGATTCGTCAAGTTTTTTGAATTTTTTCCACTGATAATGTGAACTAGGAAGCTTAAAAACCAGATAATCCTGCTCAGCGTAAAATTCTCTATCGAATGGTGCATGATTAAGCCAAAAATAAAATAGTGCTATAATTTTGAATTTGGAGCACCTTACTGCGACTTGTGTTCTGTTTGATGACACTTTTCTTTTCATCTTATTCTGTTCTATGTACATATAGAGATACACATCGAAGAATAGAAAATGCAAAAGAAACAAATTTTATATTTAGATCCGAATCTTCATACGTCATCCCTTACTCACGAGGAGAGGAGTGGACTGGTTTATACGCTTCATGTATTCTTGT